TACCATACCTGGATTGATAGCCTTTGGGGTAATTTAAATTTATTACCATATAATTACCATATTCAAAATTTCCTGAGTTATGACCTTACCATACCTGGATTGATTTATTACTATACGTGGATTAATTATGATTTATTACTATATGATTTATTACTATACGTGGATAGCCTTACCATACCTGGTGGTAATTTGAATTTATTACCATATTTGATATTTCCCGAGTTATGGCCTTACCATACCTGGATTGATAGCCTTTGGGGTAATTTAAATTTATTACCATATAATTACCATATTCAAAATTTCCTGAGTTATGACCTTACCATACCTGGATTGATTTATTACTATACGTGGATTAATTATGATTGATTACCATAAATACGTTGGGTATTGCCCGTTAGACGAGAAAAGAGAAAAACCGGTGGGAGGGGCTGGTGGGAGGTGGGACGGAAAAACCTGTTGAAAATAAACCGCTTGAAAATAAACCGGTTGAAAGTGGGGGGGACTATTCAACCAATTCGTCCATTAAAAGTAGAGATATAATTACCATATTCAAAATTTCTCGAGTTATGACCTTACCATACCTGGATTGATTTATTACTATACGTGGATTAATTATGATTTATTACTATTTGATTTATTACTATACGTGGATAGCCTTACCATACCTGGTGGTAATTTAAATTTATTACCATATTTAATATTTCCCGAGTTATGGCCTTACCATACCTGGATTGATAGCCTTTGGGGTAATTTAAATTTATTACCATATAATTACCATATTCAAATTTCCTGAGTTATGACCTTACCATACCTGGATTGATTTATTACTATACGTGGATTAATTATGATTGATTACCATAAATACGTTGGGTATTGCCCGTCAGACGAGAAAAGAGAAAAATCGATGAGAGGGGCTGGTGGGAGGTGGGACGAAGAAAAACCGGTTGAAAATAAACCGGTTGAAAGTGGGGGGACTATTCAACCAATTCGTCCATTAGGAGTAGAGATTTAATTCATAATACTCCTGTACTACGTTCTAAATTTAGGAAACAGAAAAGGAAATCCGTGTGCGACATGCCGGGCATCAACACTCCCGCCTAGTCCCAGTTTAGTTCCGTGCCGTGGCAACGCGGTCTCGCGATTTGCGTGCTTGTGTGCATGCGGTGATTGAGCCGGATTTGGATAAGAATGGATAACCCCGCCAGCCTGTCCGCGCGAGCCCCTCCCGTGGAAGTCTCCAGGCGCGACGGGGCTGCTTCCCTCCCTCCAGCTGTACCCCACTCCCTGCACCCACCGCACGGGCCCGTAACCATGGACCGCCCTCTGGTACCCCACACCCATCATCAGCCCCGTGCAGCGGACCGCGTCCACGGACGACGTCCCGTGCTAATGGCGGCCATTAATCCACATCATATCCAACCTGTTTAAACATTAAATCCCGAGTGGGCCGCGCCATGGTCCCGACATTTACGAGCGTGCCCTCCGAGATATTATCGCGGCCTTGAAGCGTCACAAACAGGTCCACTCGGAAGGTAAAAAAGCGTAATTACAAACCACTTTCAGGGGGCAGAAACTAGAAAGGCCGCGTGAACTGCCCATGAGACCCTATCCACGGCCCATTAACCGCCCCCCTTCCTCCCCCCCGCTCGCCGTCTATTTATTCCCCTCGACGACGCTTCCTCCGTCCTTCCGGTTC